TCGATGCAATTCGGTGCGTTGTTGCTGATTGGGCGCCCGAGTTATCCGGGGTAACTCGGGTCCGGGGTAACTCAGGTTTGGATTCCCGAAAAAAAGGAACCCGAGTTAGCCCTGACCCGAGTTACCCCTGATGATTCGGGGCTCTGAACGCCCGAGTTATCCGGGTGAAATCGGGTCCGGGGTAACTCGGGTTTGGATTCCCGAAGAAGGAACCCGAGTTACCCCTGACCCGAATTACCCCTGATGACTCGGGGCTCTGAGCTTACGCTTCGGTGCCCTCTTACGTAGTGCTCGTGCGCAAACCAAAAGCTGAGACCAATTCCAACTCGAGCACGCATGTTGGCTCCCAGATCCTCTGCGTTGACATAAGGGGTGTCACTTGGTCTTCGCAGTCGTCTTGGGCTTCTCTACAATTGACATCCTATTGTGGGGCTATCCCAAGGTGGTTGGGATTGGGCCCACTTTGCTTTTCGCACTGGTTGGGATTGGTCCCAGTTGGTTGGGGTTGGGCCCAGTGGGTTGGGATTGGGCCCACATGCGGTTAGGACCCCCCCCTTCTCCCCCCTTCCCCGATCAGTCGTGGGGGACCCCCCCCCCCATCCCCCCCTTCCCCGATCCGTCGTCGGGGACCCCCCCCCTCCCACCCTTTCCCCGACCCGTCGTCGGGGACCCCCACCCCCGCCCCTCCCCCCTTTCAAAAGGGGGGGGGTCCGACCCCCCCCCCCATCCCTTGCCCCCCTTTCGCCACGCCGCCCCCTGACGCCGGAACCTGGCCCCCGCCACCCCTACCCCTAGTCCTCACCCCAGCCCAAACCCCTAATCCTAACCCTAACCAGTAGCCCCAACCCCAAAGATTACTCAATACTCATTACTCACTACCCACTACTAGTACTCGCTATTCGCTAATCACTTCTCACTACCCCCTACTCACTACTCACGACTCACTCCTCGCCATCCATTACTCACTACCCACTACCCACTACTCGCTACTCACTACTCCCTACTCACTAATCCCTCCTCCCTCCTCCGTACTCAGTCCTCACTACCCACTACTCAATACGCACTACTCACTAAACACTACTCACCACTCCCTATTCACTACTCACTAATCACTACTCATTACCCACTACCCACTATCCACTACTCACTACTAACTACTCATTGCCCACAAATCACTACTGACTACCCACTATTCGCTACTCCCTACACAGTCCTGACTACACAGTACTCAGTACTCGCTACTCGCTACTCCCATACTCGCTACTCCATACTCACTACTCACTCCCCGCTACTCACTATTCACTACTTACTACTTACTACTCCCCACTGACTAGTCACTACATAGTCTCTGGTCACTAGTCACAACTGACTAGTCACTAGTCAGTAATCACTACTCACTAGCCCCTACTCACCAATCGCTACTCACTACCCACTATTCGCTACCCACTTCTTACTACTCACTGCTCACTACTCCCTACTCCCTACTCGCTACTCACTACTCGCTACTCCCTACTCGTTACTCACTAAATCACTACTCACTAGTGACTACTCTCTACTCACTACTCACTACTCACTACGCCCTACTCGCTACTCACTACTCACTACCCGCTGCCACTACCCACTACTTTCTATGCGTCACTACTCACTACTCACTACGCACTACGTACTACTCAGTACTCACTACTCAGTACTCACTACTCACTACTCGCTACTGACTACTCACTACTCACTACTCACATTCACTACTCACCACGCACCACCCAAAACTCACTACTCACTAATCACTACTCGCCACCCACTACTCACTACCCACTACTCACTACCCACTACGCATTACTCCCTACTCCCTACTCAGTACTCACTACTTGCTACTCGCTGCTCACTACTCACTACTCACTACTCACTACTCGCCACTCACTATTCACATATCAGTACACACTACTCAGTATTCACTACTCACTACTCCCCACGCCCTACTCCCTACTCGCCACTCAATACCCACTACTCACTACCCAATACTCACTACTACTCACTACCCAATATTCACTACTCACTACGCACTAACTCACTACTCACTACTCACCACTCCCTACTCCCAACTCCGTACTCCCTACACGAGGGGGGGGGTTTGAAGACCCCCTCCCCTTTCCAGCGCCAACGGGAGGAGGGGGGGGGGGGGTCCGGACCCTCCTCCCCCCTTCAAGGGAGGGGGGGGGTTCGGGACCCCCCCCCCCTTAAGGGGGGGGGGGGGGGGGGGTTCCGAACCCCCCCCCCTTGAAGGAGGGAGGGGGGGGGACCCCCCCCCTGTAGTGTATTCAGGGAGATCCACTGGCGCACTTTCCCCGACCTGACCCTGATCAAGGGAGGCCTGGAGGCATGCGACCCGGTAGCCAGCTCCCGCCGGCGGAAGAGAGAGTCGAGGATGGACAGCACCCCCTTTGGTGAAACGTGGTTTAGTGAATACAACCTCGGGCCCAAACCTGGCGGGCGCAAGCCTGGAGAAATGTCGGCCGCGGCGCCCTCTCGAGAACCGAAAATGGACAATCCACTACTCGACGTGTCACTGTTGGGGTCTCTGTCCACCCCCGATATTCGTTGTTTTGACATTGGGCGGAAGGGGGTGAGAGGGGGGGGTCTGGCTCCAGACCTCTGCTTAGTGCGACTGCTTGCAATAATGCGTCCTGTGGGGGAGACTCCACCTGCTTGAAGCAGGCGCCCAAAACAGCCAAGATCCACTCCAGGGGGGGGGGTGCGAGGGCCCACGCCGATCGGCAAAACGATGAATAAGAAAATGATCACCTGCGCACCCACGAGGCACGAGCAAATCCATGACGGAAGGTTTTTCCATGCTTCCGCCCTCTGAAGACCCTTACCGGGCCTCGGGGTCGTCGTAGATCGGCACGGAATGAACGGTCCGGGAGAATGAATGCGTCGAGATCTCTGGGGGTCGACGTTATGCCAAATGCATGGCGTCGGGGCTCTCGTTGTGGGGCATGCTTTCTCTGTTACGCACGCGGGGGGCCCCGCGGCAGCCGACAGGGGAGAGGGGAGGGGTCTCGCGAGCGTGCCCGGGGTTGCCTGGCGGGACCGGCACCTTGCTGACCCCCCTCCCCCTCTGGCTCACCCTGCTATCTTTAAGTCGGGCCTGTCCCCCTACAGGGGGATTTTCGACGAAAAACAAAAGATACCCCAAAAATGCCCCCCAAAGGTAAACACATGCTCAAAAAATAGTCCCCAGAGTATTTTTGGACTATTCTTTGGTATCTTTTTTACTTTTTCGTCGAACGCCCCCCTGTAGGGGGACAGGCCCGACTTCATGCTATCTCCCCCCTGCGGACTCCCCCCAGTATCGGAGATGGACAGACCTCCCTTTAGTAAAACGTGGCTCAGCGAACACGACCTGAGGCCCAAACCTGGCGGGCGCAAGCCTGGAAAATAACGGCCGCGGCGCCCTCTCGAGAACCGAAAACGGACAATCCACTAATCGACGTGTCACTGTTGGGGGTTCTGTCCGCCCCCGATATTTTCCAACGGGTAAATGGCTGGCCTCGAGGTCCATCCGACAGCCACTTGACAGTGGGGCCCGCGGAGGAAGGAGGAGGAGGAGGGGGAGGAGGAGGAGGAGGAGGAGGAGGGGGAGGGGGAGGAGGAGGAGGAGGAGGAGGAGGTGGTGTCACTGTTGGGGGTTGTGTCCACCCCCGACAGCAGCGCCTATATGGCGGCCCTGGAGCGGGGGCGCACGCCCGGCGACGGAGCAGGACCCGCTCGGGGGGCCCGCCTCTCTCTCGGGGTGCGCATAGCTCCTGGGCCCACGCGCTGCCGACCGACTACAGCTACGTCGGGCGTGTCCCCCTACAGGGGGAGTTTCGACGGTTTTTTTTTTTTTTTTTTTTTTTGTTTTTCCTTTTTCTTTCCCCCCCCCCCCCCCCCCCAAATACGCCAAAAAGGCAAAAACTACTCCAAAAATAGTGCCCAAACTATTTTGGGAGTCTTTTTTGACTATGTTTGGGTTTTTTGTTTTTCGCCGAAAATCCCCCTGTGGGGGGACAGGCCCGACATTCGACTGCAGTCAAAAACCCTAATCAGGACGCAAGGGACGCAAGACCCTTGGAAGCCGAGGTTGGGATTTTTGGGGCGGCGGACGACGAAAACCCCAGGGACGCAAGAGCAAGGAAGAGCAAGGACGCAAGGGTACCCTGAGTAAAGTCGTGCGTCATTATTAAGGTTTTTGACCATCAGTGAGACGCGCCAGATGCATCACGCAAGCCGTGCTGAACATGTGCGCGATGCTCCTGCCAGATGTGGGAGTGGGTGGGAGGGTGGGGCGAGGTATCCCTACTGATGAGCGTTTGTCACTATCCATCGTGCAAGATGCCACTGCGTCGAACGCGCTCCCCTCCCTGACTCCGAACGAACGCCATCATCCCTCCGCCCTACACGCCTCGGAGAGCCCGACCGAGCTCCCACCGCCGTCGGCGGAGGGGGAGGTCCGGGGCTCGAGAAGGATCGAGGATCGAGGAGGACCGAGGAGGATCGAGGAGGGAGGGCAGGGAGGGAGCATCGAGGGGAGAGGAGGGAGGAGGGCGGGAGGAGGGCGGAGGGAGGGAGGGAGGGGGGGAGGTGGGAGGAGGATCGAGGAGGGAGGGAGGAGGATCGGGGAGGGAGGCGGCGCAGTCCGCCAGGAGCCCCCGGAGGGAGCCGCGCCGTGGGCGGCGCCGGAGAGAGAGGGAGCTCTGGGCCACGAGGCGGCGCCTGCCTCTGCCGCGGGCGCGGGCCAGAGCACCCTGTCGGCGGAGGAGGAGGAGGAGGAGGAGGAGCGAGGAGGAGGAGGAGGAGGAGGAGGAAAAGGAGGAGGAGAAGGAGCGAGGAGGAGGAGGAGGAAAAGGAGGAGGAGAAGGAGCGAGGAGGAGGAGGAGGAGGAGGAGGAGGAGGACGAAGGAGGAGGAGGAGCAATGAGGAGGAGGAGGAGGAGGGGGAGGAGGAGGAGCGCGCGAGCGCGCCTGCCGGCCCACAGGAGGCGGGTGGCGCTCATGAACTCCGCAATCTTGCCCTTGACGATCTCCTCCACCTGGAGGGGGGTCCCCTCCCACACAGTCGGGACGTTTTGATCTATAAGGACCCCTAATCAAGGAACGAGGCCCCTTTTTCCCATGAGGTAAAGTTCGATTTCCCATAGAAAACCTGAGGAAAACCTGAGGCAAACTGTGAAACATTCAAGGAACACGGAGCCCCTCCCCAACGAAAAGGGTTCCTTCTTCAGCGCCCCGACTGTAACCTACAGTGGGGGTCCGACCACAAGAAACATTCCACAAGAAACCCAACCCTGGACCCCAGGACGTCCATCGATGTTTGGCGTGGGAGCGTCACGCTTTCCGTGGCGAAGCCATCGAAACCCAAGAACCCAAGGGCACCTTGGAGGCAAGCAGGGTATTTCTTGGTATGGGCCTCCACTGTAGCACACGCTGGCCCAGCCCCATGGAAGTACTGCGTCAAAAGCAATCTGACCCATGGAAGCTGACCAGACCAAGGGCTCGGCGACACCAGTGTGTCACGCGCGCGCTGTAGCAAATGATGCACCGTTCCGAGATAAGCGTGTCGCCAAACTGCAAGCGTCACGCCCACTTCGCGCGGGCCGGACTCAGTGTCACCGAGGTCCGGGTGACGTTAGGTCGGCGAAGCATCAGCAACGTCGGTGCGGAGAACATTGGGCTCGGACAGAGGTTCGGAGGGCCACGCCGCATCGCCGATGCGTCGCCGATGCACTGGCGGCGTCGGCGACGCATCGGCAACGCCGGTGTGGAGAACATCGGGCTCCCCATCGAGCCCCTTCGCCGACACGTCGGCGATGCGTCGCGCTCCTCCGACCCATCTACTCGGACCCGATGTCTGGGAGGCCTGGAAAAGAAGAAGAAGAAGAAGAAGAAGAAGAAGAAGAAGAAAAAGGAACAACAAAATACACAAACACAAACTTTTGGCGCTCCGCGCGGATTTCTTGGATCCGCGCCAGGCCCCCCCGGCGGCGCCTCAGGCGCCGCCCCTGGCGCGCTCCGCGCGCCAGGGAGGGGGCCCGGCGCGGATCCAAGAACTCCGCGCGGAGCGCCAAAAGTGTATGTTTACTTGGTTGTTCTTCTTCGATGGAGGCTAACGATCGGGCGTTTGTAGACCTGGGTTTAATGGAACCTGGTTTAATGACCTGTACCGGGGGCACCCCCCGTCCCATTTCCACTAACCGGAACTGCCGTCACGAGAAAACCGCAAGCTATGGTAAACCTGGTTTAGTGATTCCGGCCCATTCAAAGGCTCCGGGGCCCTACCACTAACTGGGTCCCCTTACCCGGGGTCCTGGCCATACCCGAAACGAGCTCAGAGGGGGGGAGCTGAAGAGCTCTTCTTCGATGGAGGCTAACAAGCTGAGTGAAGGGGCCCTGGGACACACACACACACACACATAAATACACACAAAGAACAGAATTCCCCATCTTCTCCCATATTTTCTGGGCTTTTGTCCTCCCCCCCACTTCCCATATGTTCCCATATTTTCCTGGGGGGATCGACGATTCATTGTGGCTGTGTTTCTTCCCCTCCTGACTCAGGGGGGGGGGAGCTGAAGAGTGGAAGCGCTCTTCTCGGGGAGGCGTAAGACTCGAGTAAGCCGGAACTCGGGTTTGCCGACTTTTTTTTGACGAGCGCGTCCTGGATGTTGACGGTCCCGTTTCCGTGGGACGTCTGAACAGCAGGAGCCCGCGTCAAATTTCAGGTTGGGTCTCGTCCTTTTTATGATGGCCCCCGTCAATCAGCGAGCGAAGAACGGTATAAGATAAACTTCCCGCCGTCGGGGACACCTGCCCCTGGGCGGCTGGCAAGCTTATACCCCTGCGGTGCCACCGTAAGGGGTATAAACCTTCCAGCCGCCCTGGGGCAGGTGCCCCCGACGGCGAAAAAGTTTATCTTGTACCGTTCTTCGCTCGTAAAGAGTCCCGCGTACCCCAGATTTCGTAATAAAAGGGAGGGGGTCTGGACCCTCCAAGACAAGCCATTTCGGACCTCCCCCGCGGGAGAACCCTCCAAAACGTCGTCCCCAGACCCCCCAGGCCCTCCAAGATAGCCTGGAAGAGGCCCCCCCCCGAAATGAGACCCCCCTCCCTTTGTTACGAAATCTGGAGCTCCCGAGTCTTATCGTCTCCAGGGGGCAAACAAACCTACCTCGCTTTTGACCACCCTCGCTTCCAAGAGATACCAAGCGATACCAAACTACGGCCTGTACTGGTCAGGCCGCTTGACGAGGAGGCGCGTGGTATGACTTGGTTTGCCTGGAAGCGAAAGAGGGGGAGGTAATTCACGCTCTGAGTCTCTCCGACCTTCCTTCGGGACCGGCAGCTGCGCGGCGCGCCCGCAGGGCAGGCCCGGCGCGCCCGCGGGCACGGCCCGACGACCGGGGGCCCCCGGGGGGGGCGAGCGCGGCCGCCCCCGCAGTCGGGGAGGCGATAAGACTCGGGTTACGGGGGACTCTTCACGAGCGAAGATGAAGGGGCCCAAGGACACACAAATAAATACACACAAATGCATATATCCCCCATATTTTCTCATATTTTCTGAGTTTTTGTCTTCCCCCCCACTTCCTATATTTTCCCATATTTTCTTGGGAATCGCCGATTAATTGTGTCTGTGTGTTTCTTTCCCTCCTGAAAAGAACGGTACACCCTGCGAAATGCTTAAGAAATCATGGGCTAAGAAATTCATAGTCTCAGAACTTGAGCAAAAACCCAACAATTCCTATTCAAATCTTAGGATTTGCATTGAAACGTTCAGAATAATCGAGACCCTGGCCGAAAACATAAGTTTTCTTAAGCATCGCCTAAGGTGTATAAAATCAACTTTTTCGCCGTCGGGGACACCTGCCCCAGGGCGGCTGGAAGGTTTATACCATTACGGTGGCACCGTAGGGGTATAAACTTTCCAGCCGCCCAGGGGCAGGTGTCCCCGACGGCGGGAAGTTTATCTTATACCGTTCTTCGCTCGCTGATTGACGGGGGCCATCATAAAAAGGACGAGACCCAACCTGAAATTTGACGCGGGCTCCTGCTGCAGACGTCCCACGGAAACGGGACCGTCAACATCCAGGACGCGCTCGTCAAAAAAATAGTCGGCCAACCCGAGTTCAGGCTTACTCGAGTCTTACGTTTCCCCGACTGAAGCAACAGGCCTTCGACACTGTCCTGCCGGAGAGGCCGACATTGACGACGACCGCCAAGTGTATGTTGCTCCCATCGTGCTCAAAAACGACAGCCCATAAACAAATTCGAGCACCCGGAGAATTGTCGAAGGAGTGCCGAAGCAGTGTCGGACGAGTGTCTCCCAGGCCCCGGCACGTGGAAACCTTCGAGCTTCGGAATTCGGAACCCTTCTGGTGCTCGAACGTCTTCCTGGCGATCATGGGTTAGAGTAGGCTGGAACATCAGAAGGTTCGACGCCATCCTGCCGAAGATGCCGACATTGACGACGCCCGTTGATCGGGTCGGGCGAAAGGGGGGGATAGCAAAGGGGGGGGGTGAGAATCAGCTCACGTAGCTGATTTTCCCGGTGCCTCCCGGCGCCGGGAGGCGCCCATGTATCGAGGCATGGGCCCCTCGGCGAGGCCGAAACCAGCTGCATGCAGCAAATTTCGTAACCCCCCTTTCCCTCGGGGATCCTCTGACCCGGGTCAATCCAGATCCGGGTCAGCAGGAAACCAAAAACTGCAATGCAGGAAACAAAAACTGCAACGCAGATCTTCGCAAACCCGGGTCAGCCAATACGCGCGGCCGCCCCGCGGCCACGAGCGGCTCGCTGACCCGGGTCAGCCAGAGGGGGTCTTCGCAGGATCCTGCAGGATCCGGCGTCCTGGCTGACCCCCGTTTGCACTGACCCCCGTCTCGAGGCTCCCGATTCCCAACCCTGATGGTCCGCTACCGAAAATTTGCGGTAGCGCTCCGCAGAGATCGGTCGCTACCGAAATACCGAAATGCAGCGCCCAATACCGGTATCAGAGCGTTCTGAAATCCGCTATTTCAACGCCCTCAAACGAAGATCCGGTCGCTACCGAAATTCGGGGTGCGTCGAAATCGCTACCGAAAATCTCCGGTACCAGACCATCTGGGAATCCCCCCCCCTTCGTCCGGCCCGAGTTGAGTGCTCCCGTCGGGGCTCTCCGGGCGAGGCTGCAGGCACCACCTCTAGAACGGCGGGGGGGCCCGCGAGGCCCCTCGCCCCGGAGGCAGCCGGCCGAGAGTGGAGGGGCCCGGGGACACACAAATTCGCTGGCCCAACGGGCCAGAGGCGTGCTAAGATCTCCGGTAACTTGTTAACAATATTTCTAGTTCGCGCGCGCGAAGCGGCCCCTGGGGGCCCCCGGACGAAAAGTACCCCGGCAAGGTCCCGAGAGAAGCCCGGGAGAAGCCACCAGACCACTCCAGGGGAGGGTATTTTTCGACACCCCTCACGAGGATCGTGGCCTCCGAGGGGGGAGCCGCAATCGACTACCCCCAAGAGCCCCCCAAGAGGCCCTGGGGGCCTCCAAAACGCCGCCAAGGAGCCCCAAGAGACTCCCAAGAGGTCCCCAAGAAGCCCTAAAGAGGGCTCCAGGGCCGGCGGCATGAGCGAAGCGATTAAATAAATTAGAGGACAGAGAACTATGCACATACACCGATTCTGGCCAGGCCCACCCTGAGCCCAGGATCGGTGCATACGCCCTCCTGCCCTGGCCAGGAAGGCACATCTGCACCGATCCTAGGTCGAGGATGGGCCTTGCCAGGCTCGGTGCATGTGCATAATTAGTTCTCTCCGCCCGATAAATAGGCACAAATAGAAGGATTCCCCCCCAAATCTTCAAGCATCTTCCAATCTTTTCTCGGGTCGGGCGAAAGGGGGGGATAGCAAAAGGGGGTTTGAGAATCAGCTCACGTAGCTGATTTTCCCGGCGCCTCCCGGCGCCGGGAGGCGCCCATGTATCGAGGCATGGGCCCCTCGGCGAGGCCGAAACCAGCTGCATGCAGCAAATTTCGTAACCCCCCCTTTCCCAATCCCCCCCTTTCGCCCGACCCGATTTTCTTGTGTCTGTGTTTTTGTTTCCCTCCTGAGAGGAGGCCGGCCCTGCCCCGCCGAGGGCATGCCGCGCGACCGCGCGCGTCCCGGCGGGGGCTCTCCGGCATGGCGCGGCAGGCACCGACCCGACGGCAAGGGCCCCTCCGGGTGGCCATCCTGCGAGGGGAACAAGCACAGAAAAAACTAGGCAAGTGCCCTGATGGTCCGCTACCGAAAATTTCCGGTAGCGCTCCGCAGAGATCGGTCGCTACCGAAATACCGAAATGCAGCGCCCAATACCGGTATCAGAACGTTCCGAAATCCGCTATTTCAACGCCCTCAAACGAAGATCCGGTCGCGACCGAAATTCGGGGTGCGTCGAAATCGCTACCGAAAATTTCCGGTACCAGACCATCTGGGTGGGGGGGAAGACAGAAGCCCAGAAAAAGTATGGAGACGATGGGGAATCTTTGCATTTGTGTGTGTGTATCTATTTGTGTGTCCCAGGGCCCCTTCAAAAAAGTGGCCTGAGCATAACAACTCGGAGGTCCGCGCGGATTCCTCGGATCGGCGCTGGGGGGCCCCCCCCAGCGGCGCCTCCGGCGCCGCCCCTGGCGCGCTCCCGCGCGCCAGGGAGGGGGGTCCAGCGCCGATCCGTGAGATCCGCGCGGACCTCCGAGGTTTTATGTTCGTGCCACTTGTTTGAAGGGGCCCTGGGACACGCAAATAAATACACACAAATAAAACTACTCCCCATATTTGCCATATTTTCTGGGCTTCTGTCTTCTCCCCCACTCCCCACATTTTCCCATACTTTCTGGGAATCGAGGATTAATTGTGTCTGTGCGTTTCTTTCCCTCCTGAACCCTGGAGGCAACCAGCCGAGGGGTCGGCCCTGGATCGCCGAAGGTGCCCAAAGCAGCCGAGGTTGACGACGGCCATCGGGTCGGGCGAAAGGGGGGGATAGCAAAGGGGAGGTTTGAGAATCGGCTCACGTATAGCTGACTTTTCCCGGCGCCTCCCGGCGCCGGGAGGCGGCCATGTATCGAGGAATGGGCCTCTCGGTGAGGCCGAAACCAGCTGCATGCAGCAAATTTCGTAACCCCCCCTTTCCCAATCCCCCCCTTTCGCCCGGCCCGACCCTGGATCGCCGAAGGTGCCCAAAGCAGCCGAGGTTGACGACGACCACCACGCGTTCCAGTCCAGGTTCTCCGGCGAGGCTGCAGGCAAGACCTGACGGCCGGGGCGTCCCAGGGCGAGCGAGGCCCGTCACCCTGGAGGCAACCGGCCGAAGGGTCGGCCCTGCCCCGCCGAAGATGCCGAAAACCGTCGGCATCAACGCCGGCCACCAAGTGCTCCCGTAGGGGTTCCCCGCGGGCCTGCAGGCACGACCTGCCAACCGGGGCCTCCGAGGGCGAGCGAGGCCCGTCACCTTGAAGGCAACCAGCCGAGGGGTCGGCCCTGCCGTGCAGAAGAGGTCTTTGAGCGCATGCTGCAGGACCAGCAGGCCGAGTCGACCCTCGCGGGCGACCACGACGTCGCCAAGACAGTCTACTCGGAAGAAGCGTCGGAACTGCGCGTGGTCGGAATTGACACTGCCGTAGAGGAGCTGGGCGGCTTGAGGACGCGCAGCAAAAACTCAACCGCGGCCTCAACAACAACGCCTTGGGTCGGAATAAATGGGGTCGGAGGATCGCGCCGCGCCGCATCGCCGATGCATCGCCGATGCAATGCGTCGACGATGCATCGGCGACGTCGACGACGCGATCCTCCGACCCCATCTGCTCCGACCCAGTCAGGGAAGCCTAGATTGACGCACGACGAGGAGAGGTCCAGCAGGCCGAGCCGGACGGCACGGGCGGCCCCGCGCTCGGCACGACATAGCTCCCGGGGGCAGCCCCGGAGTTGTCCGCGTGCTCTGCGGGCTCCCTGGGCCGGGCGCGGTCGACCTGCTGCAAGGCGCCGTGCGCAACGCACGGCGCGGACGCGGAGGCGCGTTCCGCGCGCGCCTCTTGGGACCACTCACTCGGACCAAGAAGCGGCCCCGCTGGGGACTCCCTGGGCCGCTCGAGCGGATCCACTCCGCGGCAGGGCCGGCTGCTGCCCTCTCGCGGGGCCCGGGTCCAGGAGCCGCAGGGCCCCCGCGGCGACGGGGCACGAGCGTGTGCGTGCGTGTCTTTTTCCGCGGGTCTTGCTTCTTCCGGTACTTCGCCGCCGGGTTCCCGTCCAAGGCGTTCCTTTGCAAGCACATCGTCCTCGGCACCGCCTGATTCCGGGGCTCTGCCCCCTCCTGGCCTCGATGTGAGGCCCCTCCTTCTGCCCCCCCCTCTATTAATTCAAGCTGGGCGCGGCCCGCGTAGCTTCGACCGGAAGGGGTGCGCTCTCGACCTGCGGATCAAGAACAGTTTTTTTCCGCGGGCGGCTCCCTCGAGGCGGCCCAGCAGCCTCGACTGCCGAGTGGTGCCATGCGGGGTTGGCTGCTGGCCACGGCGCGTCTGCGGCCCACGCCGGAGGCCGGCCTCGCCCTCGCTTCGTGCTGCGGGGCGAGCTCGCGCGGCGTGGTCGGGGAAGGGGGCACCCGGAGGCCGTGCCCTTCGGTGCCCTGCCGTCTCTCCCCCAGCATCGTCGCCTTGCTTGGTTCTGGTTGATGCCTCGACCCCTCCCCCCAGAGTACCCCGGGATCCTCCGACTCCCGCCAGCGCACCCTCGAAACTTGATGGCACAACTCCTGAGCCGTGCTGTTGCTGCCCCTCCCCTTCCTTCCCCTTTTCTCTCCTTTTGCCCTCGTCATTCGGAAGCCGTCGGGAACCTCCAACCCCAAGCGGAAACATGAATGAACATTTGAATGCCAATGGGCAGAATTTTACAACATCGGCAAAACACGTCAGACACATGTTCGAAAACCATCTCCTCCTCCTCCTCCTCCACCTCCTCCGCCTCCTCCTCCTCCGCCTCCTCCTCCGCCTCCTCCTCCGCCTCCTCCTCCGCCTCCTCCGCCTCCTCCGCCTCCTCCGCCTCCGCCTCCTCCCTCCTCCCTCCTCCCTCCTCCCTCCTCCCTCCTCCCTCCTCCCTCCTCCTCTCCTCTCTCCTCCTCCCTCCTCCTCCTCCTCCTCCTCCTCCTCTTCCCTCTCCTCCTCCTCCTCCCTCCTCCTCCTCCTCCTCCTCCTCCTCCTCCCTCTCCTTTCCCATTCACCATCGTCCTCATCATTGGTTCTGGCCCTCCTCACAGGCCCCCACAACCAGCTAGAAGTGGCTGAGAGTGAGAGTGTGGTGGTCCAAAAGGAAGACGCCCGCCGCTCCCTCCGCCTCTCCCCTTCTGCTCCGCGTCCTCCTCTTATTATTATTATTGTTATTATGCTTCTTCCTCCTGCTCCTCCTCCTCCTCCTCCTCCTTCTCCTCCCCCTGCCCTTCCCCCCCTCCCCCTCCTCCTCTTCCTCCTCCTCCTCTTCTTCTCCTTCTACTCCTCCTTCTTATTTTTGTGTTTCTTATTGGTATTCTTCTTTCTCCTCCTCCACCTCTTCCACCTCCTCCTCCCTCTCCTCCCCTTCCCCCTCCCCCTCCTCATCCCCCTTCTCCTCCCTTTCCTCCTCCTCATCCTTCCCCTCCTCCTCCTCCTCATCATCCTCCTCCTCCGCCTCCTCTTCCTCCTATTATTCTTATTATTATTATTCCTCCTCCTCCTCCTCGCCTGCGGCGCGATGTCCAGCGCGTCGATCTCCAGGGCGCCTGCAAGCAGCTCCTCCTTCACAATCATCGGGTCCACCTCTGCGTCCTGCCGCTGCGAGTGCGCCCGGCCCCTCCTCCTCTTCATCCTCCCCCTCGTCCTCCTCCCCCATCGCCTCCTCCTCCTCCTCACCCTCCTTCTCCTCCCCCCCTCCTTCTTCTCCTCCTCCTCCTCCTCCTCCTCCTCATCATCCATTCCTTTTCCTCCCCCTCCTTCTCCTCCTCCTTCTCCATTCCTTGTCCTTCCAAATAACTCCTCCCTGTCGCACCCCGAGGCCAATCGACAGGGCGAGCCTGGAGTTCCGCGTGAGATGTTCCCATCAAGTTCTGATCCTGAAGCTTGGGATGGTGAAGGGTTCCACGAATGAAGGGCGGCCCACTTTCAAACTGTAGTTTTCGCCTCAGCGCCGCGCACACTCGCCTTAAACATGTACAACCACTTTCACGGATGGAGGAAGGCCCCTGTTCAAAATTTGGCTGTCGCCATAGCGGTGTGCACATCCGTATTGCACGTTTGCAAAGAGCTTCACGGATGGAGGGCGGTCCCTGTCAAAGTGTAACTCTCGCCACAGCGTCGCGTACATTCGTTCTTACCATGCGCATGGGCTTCAGTGATGGAGGGGCGGTTCGTCTTCAATCTGTGGACCTCGCATTCGCGGCGCCCGCATTCTTTCCAAGCATTTGCAGAACATCATGGATAGAGGACAGCTCTTTTTCTAAATGTGGCCCTCGCCATAGTGGCGCGCACATTTGTCTTAGACATCTGCAACCATTTAAAGGATGAAAGGCGCGTTGTTTGTTGTTGTTGTTGTTGCTGTTGCTGTTGTTGTTGTTGTTGTTGGTGGTGTGTGCGTTTCTCTTTTAATTAAACAACTGTGGCCCTCGCCGTGGCGCCTCGCAGATGGTTCGCATGGTTGTGCTGCATGTTCAAAGATTTTCAGATTCATCCAAGACACAATGCTTTGACACGATGTCGGAACTTCAGGGCGCAACAACCACGTTCACTCGCAGTTCGAACTCTCAGGAATGATGTTCTGGCACGATCCAGGATCGTCAAGACGCGATTGAAACGGCGATGCGCGGCGTTGGAATGATTCACGGCGTCAAAGCCCCGAGAACGGTGCTCTGGCACAGTTGCGGATTTGCAAATGGTTGCCTTCCAACAAAGCAGGTCCCTCTGAATATGAGCCCGCGTAGGAACCGATGCAGGGGGAACTTGGAAGGAGGGTTTGTTGCAGTATCGTTGGTGCACCTTGGGTTTACGCGGGTCCTCCTCCTCCAGCTCCTCCTCCTGCTCCTCCCTCCCTCCTTCCCCCCCTCCGCCGCCCCCTCCCTCATCCCCCAGAATTTAAGCCTCGCGATTTGCGCATGGAGTGCCGAGTCGCCTTGAATGGCCCGGCGGCCCTCACGGCATATAACTGTGAGGCGCTGGGGAGGCTCAGGCAAGGCAACCCCCCTAAGAAAAGTGTCTTGATTGGGGGAGCGCCGTCGACACGCTCATCGACTTATGATCAACAATTTTCACCTGCTTGGCAATCTCTTCGGAAGCTTGACGGGCAGCGGTCCACAGCAAAAAAAAAGCGTCCGCTCCTCCTTCTCCTCTCTCTCTCTCTCTCTCTCTCTGGCGGCCGCCTTTGCGGCACCCCGTCTGCGCCCGCGCGCGCTCGGGCTGCTGTGCGGGTCGCCCGTCCGGCGCGAACGCGGGCCCCCCCCCCGGGGCGCCGCAAAGGGACCCTGCCCGAGGGAGGGGGGGGGGGCACCTTAGCTTCATAGCTTCGAACCTGAGGCCCGAAAGGAGGAGGGGGAGAGGAGGAGGAGGATGAGGAGGAGGAGGAAGAGGAGGAGGAGGAGAAGGAGGAGGAGGAGGAGGAGGAGGGGGAGAAGGGGAAGGAGGAGGAGGGAGTGGAGGAGGGAGGAGGAGGAGGAGGAGGAGGAGGAGGGAGGAGAGGAGGAGGAGGAGGAGGAGGAGGAGGCTCCGTAGCCATTTTGGCTCAAGCCATTTTGGCTCAAGCCTGGTTCGGGCGCGCGTGGGCGGGCTCGAGCAATGGCGACGGTGGGCTGCCCCTCGATGTGGCGGCCCAGTTCGATGCGACAAGCCGACGCTGCACGCCTCGGTCCCTCGGCTGCTCGCCGCCTGGCCCGAGCTCGGGCGCAGCGAGCCTGCGAGGCCGCTCTGCGCCTTGCTTTCGGCTCCGGCGAGCCCGGCTCCTGGCGCGACTGGGAGGCAGCGGCGCGGCCCGCGCTGCGCTGCCTGGCAGCCCGCCGGCGGATCCCGGGCGCCGCGCGGTTGCGGCGCAACGCAGCGTGGCACGCGGCTGAAGCCCCCGAGGGCGGCTTCGCCTCGGCCTCCTCCGCCGAGCTCTCTGCCGCGGCGGCAGGGCCCAGGCTCGAGCGGTGGACAGCGGAGCGGTCGGGCCTGGATACCAGCGACTCCTCCCACGCGAAGTTCGGCGACGGCGTCGTGGCCATGGACGGTGTCCAAGACGAGTCCCTGCTGCAGGGGCTTGGGTTCGGGTCGTGCTGCAACTACGGCAAGCAGCTTGAGCCGATCGGGAGCTGGCTTGCTCCAGGGTCGTGGGCGCCGCCCGACGTGGAGCTGGGCGTCGCGTTCGGGGACGGCTTCCAGGTGGCGCTCTCCCTGGCAGCTCAGCTCTTTGCAGCGGATGCTGGCTACACCTCTGCTGACGCCGTCTTCTCCTCGGTCTGCTCGGGCAAGGAGGTGCAGGGCGTTCGCGACGGGCTCCAGATGGCATCAGCTTCAGCTCGGCCATCTCCCAGTTCCGCCAGGGGAGGGTATCCAGGCGCGCTCCAGATGGCATCAGCTTCAGCTACGCCATCTCCCATGTCCGCCAGGGGAGGGTATCCAGATGTGGACGTCGGCCATCACGTGGGTGCCGCTCGCCGCGGCCCAGGCTGGTGGCGGGCCCGTGCGGCCATCGCCAGCGAGTGGCTGGGCTCCACGACGGACATGAAGGGCGATGCCGACGTCGAGGATGTGCGTGCTCGGCAGTCACGTGTGTGGTGCCCTGTGGGTCTTCCTCCTGGCCCAGGAGAGGGTTTTTTGTTCGGTCCGCCTTCTTCATCTTCGGCGTCGTTGTTTTCTTATTGGAGTACTTGTTCTCCGTGATTGCCCATTTCAGGATATCCAGCTTCTGGGGTTACGGCTCGTGGCGTCATATGGCATTTTTTTTTCACGTGCGGTGCTTTGATTCCTGGTACGGCCTACTTGGTTCGTTCTGGAGGGGCTCAGCTGTCCGACGAGATCTACGGCGTGTGGCGTCGTGAGGCGCTGTTTTTTTTCTCGTGCGGAGCTTTGTTTCCTGGGGCGGCCCTTATCGGCACTTTTGTGGGGCTCAGCAGTCCGACGTGATCTACGGCGTTACTGGGTTGTGGTTTCAGTTTTTGGATATCCTATGAAATGTTCGGCTTTTGCGTTGTAATCCAACAGATGCTGTGAGCTACCGCTTTCCTGGGACTATCACGTCTTCTGCGATTTCGGCTACTCCTTCATCACTTCAGGGCCGTACCAGTTGCGCCTCTGGGCTGGTCGAGCAGTTACTGTGCACAGAGGCCGAGGCGTTGCTGCCAAAAAAAGAGGAGGAGGGGGAGGGGGAGGGGGAGGGGGAGGAGAGGCGGGGCCGTGCATGATGTACTTGATGTAAAGAACGTAATTTTGTTCATCGCGGTGTACCTGTAGTACCCTTATTCGTGGCGCTGTCCCGCCTTTTGACGTTATGGCGACAGCATGTTGTACGAATGGCTTCACCCCTGCGGCTTCCGCCGGCTTATAGCTCTCTGCCTACTGTGGACCCTCAGCCGTTCTCCCATCGGACCGTAGCCAAGAGGGCAGCAGGGCATCGATCTGCATTACTATGCTCTCGACGTACTTTTTGCCGAATGTCGCCTCGACAATATGAACTATGGTGATCGGTCGGTTGGTCTCCTTGGGCCCCGCATGCGATGGTACCGTGACGCCTCGTCGTCGCCGAACTTCTCAACAAGTGCGTCCCAGGTGACCTCGCTGATGTCCTGGATCGGGCCCGTGCTTATTTTACTATCAGCGTGTTGTGCTGTCTCAGCAGCTCTTGGAATTGTTCCGGTGCGCTCCACCTACAAGCCGAAGTTCTTGAGCCGAGGCCTGTGGCTCCGACTGTGGATCCAGACGTGGGCGGATCATAGAGCTCAGCAGGAAGTCCTCGTAGCTCAGCCAAAGGTCCTCGTAGCCCTGCGCGTGGCCCCTGTATCCCAGCTCGTGGTACTCGTGGTTCAGCCGGCGGCCTAGGGAACTTTGCTGAAGGCTCTCGTCGATCAGCGTGGCCCTAGTAGCTCTGCTGGTGGCTCTCGTAGCTCAGGAGGTGGCCCTGGTTGCATAGCTGGTGAACATCCTTGCTCAGGCTGTGGTCCTCGTAGCTCCGCTCGTAGCACGCGTAGTGCAGCTGGTGGCTCTAGGTGCTCTGCTTGCCGCCGTCGTAGCCCGATTTGCTGCCCTCAAGGCTCAGCAGGTTGTCCTCGCAGCTGTGCTGGAAACTCCCGAGGCTCTGCCCGTGGCTCTTGTAGTTCAGCTTGTGGCTCTGGTAGTTATGCTCGAGGTTTTCGCTGGTCAGCATGTGGCCCTTGTAGCTCAGCCGGTGGTCCTCGTAACCTTACGCGCGGCCCTGGACGCCCAGCCTGTGGCCCTCGGGGCTCAGCAGGTGGCCCTCATAGCTCTCGTAGCTGTGCCCGTGGTCCTCCTAGCTCAGCTCGCAGTTCTTGTAGTTTTGCCGGTGGGCCTCGTAGCTGCGCCTCTGGGCATCGTAGCTGAGCTCTTGGTCTTCGAAGGCGTGTTGGGGGCCGTGGGAGCTCTTCCGGTGGCTGTAGTAGCTGGGCTTGTGGTCCTTGTCATTAAAGTTGCTGTCCTCGTAGCCCACTGGTGCGTCCGCCGGTAGCTCGGCTGGTGGTCCTCGTAGTTCAGCTGGTGGCCCCCTTAACGCAGCAGAAGGTCCTCGCGATTCAGCTGGTCCTCGTACTCCTGCTTGTGGCCTTCGTAGCTCAGCCTGCGGACCGCGTGGC